TCTGGAATTCCCATTCTTTTCAATATCAGCCATAAATTGTTATGATCCACAAGTCAAAAGCCTTTGCATAGTCAATAAAAGACAGATAGACGTCCTTTTAGACAATACGCAATTATTGGTTGTTTCAGGTGTGTTTTAATGTCATTTGTGGTAGTATTAAATCATGGGATAGATCCATTCATGGGACTCTAGTACAAGAACACAATCTTCTGAGACAAAATTTCACTCACAAATATGTGTGTCACAGGGCCTTCTACAAAATATCAAAATTGAGGAGGCGGGAAAAAATTTCTAAGCAGACTATTTGAATAAGCTATATTAATGGCTGTAGATTATGTATTATGCAACTATATATTATAAAAATAGTACTTCTAAGAGCTGTGTTATATACATGTTTGATATATGTATGTATGTTTCATTTTTTCCCTTTCAATATTATTATTTTGTAAAAAGCCTGTGACACACATGTTTGCGAATGAAATTTCTTCCCAGAAGACTGTGTCCTTGTATTAGAGTTCCACAGCTGGGTCTGTCCTATGATTGAAGACTGCTGCAAACTACATATAAAAATACCAAACTGATAATAACATATAATCATTCAAAGTAATATCACTTGACTGTTCAGTATTTGAGTACTCAGAGTATTATCATCCTTTAGAAATACTTTCATTTTTCTAAATTTAACAAGTGCATCATTCTTTGATAAGTACTAATGAAACTGATAAACTTTCCACATATTTATTCGATTAATTCTATCCTTTGCCCAGCACCAATAAAAAGGTCCCAGTACATACACTCAAACTCAGACTCACTAATATTGAATCAGAATCAACATGGTCAACCCTCTTGTGGATCTCCTAAGCTGTAAATCATAAAGGAGAAGACAGCTCGACTTTCTCCTGTGGATCAGCTGGTGGATTTGAATCTCCAGAGAGCCTCTGTCCTTGAGTTAACAATGCAACTCCAACTCTAACCTGGTGGACTATGTCACCAGATCTCCCTCGGTACACATAAGGTACTCAAATACATGTTAAGAGAATTCATTAATTTATTGAGTTTGCTCTATTTTATTGTTTTTCTACTCTTTAACTGAAAAAGATATCAACTTGTATTTTATTTTGCACAGGTATTTCAAGTCTTTTTATAACAAAATATGGGCAATGTATTATATGATTTCCCACTTAACTACAGAGAAGACAAAGAACATACTTAAACCTTATACCAGGTACAAGCACTGAAATTTACTTTTTTTTTTCCAAATGTTAAAATAGATATTGTCAAATACTCAAGGGCCTAGTATTTTTTAATATCTCTCTCTCTCTCTCTCTCTCTCTCTCTCGTTGTGTACTGTCGAATAGGATCCAGTTGGCACTGGGATTACCCCTCTTCTCCAGCAGAACATGTGGTGGATTCAAACCGCGAGCCTTTGGGATTGCAGCACAACTTCCTTCCACTAGGCCACCAGAGCTCCCTAGAGCTTAAGCATTTTTAAACTTCCCATTGTTTTCTAACAAGTTTAGAAATGTTAATTATTCTTATTTTTAAAATCTCCAACAATTTTAAGATTAAAATAATGAGGTTAAGATAACTGGAATCAAAATCATTTTTAAGAGAACTAAATTTCAGAAACTGGAAAACATTAAAAAATACTCATGAAGATTTTATTTTGAATATTGAATTAAATATAGTTTGATAATTAGAGAATAGATTTTTTTTTCCTCTGACTGACAACAATTAAGTTAAAGCCCGTGACAGATTTACACTCTAGAAAATAGACTAAACTTTTCCCATCAATAGTAGAATAAGTCCCCATTGTCAATACCCATTCTCAATAAGCACTAACCCAAGCATTTCCTGAAGGCTTATTGGATTTCTAACAAGAACAGATCATTCAAGCCTAGGTCAACAACTCACAATGCTGGACTTTGTCTGGAAAAATCTCCAATCTACAACACAAAAAGTGTGGCTCGGGTTATACTATTTCCTCAACATGTGTAAGTAATTTTCTATTATTGTGCAGTACTAGTGTTTTAGTCACACATCTTTCTCAAATGCGGAATTCTATGTTCATCATCAAAATTATTATGATCATAATTATTTACCTCACCCAGAATTTTAGCCTTGTAATTACTAGAAATTTTTCAATATTTCTTCCTAGATTTCATACAAACTTTTATCCTCTTACTATCTTAGTGGCATTGAGGACTCTGCTTCATAGGGTCAGTACGAGTCACCTCCGACTCAATGGCACTTAACAACAATAACATCAACATAGAGAGAGAGATCAGCTGGCCCAATGGACAGAAAGTGATGCTACCCAGCCAAAGGTGGGTGACTTTTAATCCACGGCCCTCGGGCCTGCCTTTCCTTGTTTTTGTTCAAACATTCCTCTAGGTCGTATAGTCCTGGTGTGTCCACCTGCCATACAGCGGGAACCTGGGGTTGCTGTGAGGCTGAACACTGTGACACTGATGTGTCAAATGCATTAATGGTTGGTTACCCATGGCAGACAGTGTTGGGTGAAACTCCCCGACTAAAACAAGCTTGGAAACAGGAGTGGCATCCACTTCCGTAACAGCTTGCCTCCAGAAAAACTCTATGAACCTGGAGAGAGGATGAAAGACACACAAGTGTTGAGAACTCTCCTTCATAGGGTCGCTATGAGTCGCCTGCGACTCGATGGCACTTAACAACAACAACTATCTTAGTAAAAACTGGCAAGCTGCTAAAATAAGTTAAAATTTATAGGTATCATTAAAATTTTCTTAACAATTCTAGTAAGCCAGTCTCCTCTTATAATCAAACAAATAAAATATGTGAAGTTCTATTCAGCAAAACTGATCATATAATGCCTGCTTATGAAAGTGTACCAGCATGGAAGGTTGCACCACCACTGACAGCTGGAAGACAGGGGACCAAACACTTGGGAGGGAGTTTTCTTACTGGCAAGAAGTCCTCTTCCTATGATGTTGCTCTTGGGAGTACTTCTTTCCTCATTTCTCTGCCACAGTTTCTACCAGAGTTTTGGAAGTTAATTTATAATTTTTACCCACCAAAGGAAACTGAAGAAACCAACTGTAATGAACAGAAACTTGAGATTTCAAGGATTTGTATCTATAATGGAGCTTACAAATTGACAAATTTGCAAATTATTAAATGTAAAACAATGTCAAATTAAGTCCATGGAAAATGCAAACTATCCAGTGACTGGACACCAAAACTATCTAAAGATTAACAAGAAAAATCTAGTTTTCTACATATCTATTATAAAAAACAAAAACAAAACCTTAAAACCAAAAACAAACTCAACTCTCAAAAACTGTTAGTGTTTCTGGTTTGCACACAATTGTACTATTTGTTCCTTACTGTTTTAGTAATTGTTATGAGAGAACAAGTTGTCTCAAACAACAAAGGGGTTTGCTTTAAAGGTTTTGTAAATACTATTTGTACATTATTGTCTCTCTTGAATTGCTTTCACAATTGTTTCCTTGGACACATTACATTATCTCTTTTCATCTGTACAATAACACCGTGAGGTTAGCAAAGCAAATTATCTGCATTTCACAGGTAAAGAAGTTCACTTGGCACACTTTACATGACCAAAGAGAAAGTGAAACAGTCAAAACTTAATAGATTAGTTCTTGTTTTTCCCTTTATACCACTGATAATAAGTTGGAATTTAGAATTTGAGATGCATCATCTACAAAAGTAGACTTATATATGCTCATTTAAAGTTTAGACCCTAAAAACATTTAACACATAAAATCTCAATTCCCAAAGAGTAGCTAAAAATAGACTTGTGGTCCAGACTAAATTTTCATTTCCACAGATAAGACAATTTCTTTCAGGAGATAAGTATCATACTGCACAGCTATGACCTTATTCATATGAGTGACTGGCCGACCTCCAGGACCCATCTTCTAAAGAAGTAACCTTTTCTTTTAGTGCCAAAATCACACACGTTCCTTCACTCGGTTATTAGTGGCTACTCACCTCACCAGGACAGATACAAGAACACAGTCCCTGCAGAAAAACAGCAGTTGCCTTCTGAGATTCTGGATATAGCTTATTTTCCAACCTTAGCAAAAACTATTTGCTCACATATATCAGATAAGTGCCAGATAGGCATAGCAACCTGCTGGAGGGTCAGCTATAAATCGGCTCCGACTTGACGGCAGACAACACAGGTAGGACAGTGAACAAGTTCCCACTCCTGGTCCACTGTAACTAATGAGTGCTTCAATGACAAGTCAAAGACAGGAGCAGGGTGAGAGGGAAAGAGCCACTGCGACAATCCATCCCATGGAGGGTCTTCGCTATAGTCAGGGAGTATTTAATATCGTGACACACTTCCTTATTTCCTATTCACATGAACCTTGACTTAAAGGCAAAGCTTATTTTCAACAAAGGCAGTCCTAAACATCACGTCCACTGTTGTTTTCACACCTAACAGCTGATTGAGATATTTCTGTAATTCCAACAGTAATTCAATGTTGTAAACAACAGTTCCAAAAAGCTCTGAGTGGAGCTATCAAGGATTTAACCAATGCAATAAATGCATATTTAAATAGAAGCTTGACAACTAGCCTGTAAACAATTAGCCTGTAAACTCTGCCAGGGCTAGAAAAGCGTCTGTCTTCTTCATTGATGACCCCACTTCACACCTAGCTCACTCCCTGGCTCCCATCAAAGGTCAACCCTTGTTAGCTGAATGGGTACTACTGAGATTAGCAGGACTTCCAGAATAAAGGAAGAAGGAGGTTATCAATCATAAGTGTCTGGCCTATTCTTTTTAGAAATGAACTATGGAATAATCTAGCCTAAAGTATCTTAATATTACCCATAAGCCTTTGGAAAGGCATTACCAATAAATACAAATGACTAATTAAATAGCAAAGCACAAAAACATGATATATATTTAAGGTGATGTAGTTTATTAAAGAAAAAAATGCATTTATAACTATTATTGCTTTTAGGTATGTATTTAGTAATGTACTTACTTTCACAATCATCTTTTATATCTATAGTAATAAATGGCATTTCTTCCAGAGAATTCACAGTACTGGCGTCCAACTCCTCTGATATTATCTGTTCTCTTGATACATATTCACACTCATCAGAATTTATTCCTCCTTTAAAATATCATAAAAAGAAAATGGTATTACTTAAGTTGTTATTTTTCTATCTTATATTCAAAATCAAAACATCTCAGCCAACTATAGTCAAGAAAATTATTAAGAAATGTCACAGTTTGTATTTAAACTTAAATACAAACTTTAATACAATTTAAATGTAAATTTAAAAGCTACTGTCAATTCTCAAGATCCTCTAGAGTTCTATTCTATAAAGCCAGCATGAATTATTAAATACTGAACTACCCTCCCTAGTGAATAGGGAACTGTGCTGCTGACCCAGAGACAGCCAGTTTGAATCCATCTGTTGCTCTGCAAAAGAAAGTTGAACAATCTCCTCCCATGTTCTTTAAAGCCTCTGAAAAGCCACTAAGAGGATCAGAAGTGAGTTGGTCCTGACTCCATGTCAATGAATTGACGTTGTTTGAGTTTAGCTACACTCCTGAGGGAAAAGCAGGGTTACTTTCCTACAAAGCTCTGGACACAATAGTTTTGACAATACATCAATACATTATCTTGTTTTATGTAAGTTTCTATTTAAAGACAAATTATTTAATACATAGAGACCCTGGGCCTTGCAAACAGCCAATATGGTCAGATGGTTAAATGTCAATCAAAAGGTTAGAGGTGCATGTCCTTCCAGAAGTATCTCATGAAGAATCTCAGCAATCTACTTCCCAAAACACCTGCCACTAAGAGCTCTGTGGCACAGAGGTCCACAACGACGTGCATGCAGTCACCATGAAGTGGAGTCGACATAAGGGCGGCCTGTCACTTAGCCTACACTGCTGACTCATTCACATTAAACTCATAGCCAAAAACGTGACCATTCATGCCAGGATGAAACGTGTCCAACAAATACAGCATAATTACATGAGGTATATCACAGCCCATTATACTTGGCCTTCAACATTAATTAAATCACCACATTTGAAGACCATTTTTAAAGAGTTGAGATCATCAGCAAAAGCATAAAAATGAAAAACTCTAGAAATGAACAGACTACATAAAGTATGTTCATATACAGTATGAAAGCCTAAGCAAAAAAAGTTGAGCGCTGTCATGCTGGCTTCAGCTGGGAACTTGCTTTCATCACTTCTTACATGTCCACAGATGACCGACCACAAAAGCACACAGTATGTATCACAGAGTGTACAGATCAATTTTAGCATAGGTGAACTCATACATTCTAAAACCACAAACAACAATTGGCTATATTTAGGTAAACAATATGCGTATCATTTTCTGAGCAGGCATGGATGGCATAAAGAGTGAGGTATTTGACCTAGAATGGTTAGATGTCTAAACCCACTGAGATGTGCCTCACAGGCCAGGCCTGGCAGTCTGCTTCTGAACGGTCACAGCCTTGAAAACCTGACAGGGCAGATCACACACAGGGTCATCACGAATAGAAATCGAAAGGATGATAACTAACAACATACTACGTTCTGCGTATATATAAAAGTATATGTTAAAAAACAAACTTCCAAAGCTTTAACATTTTTCTAAAGCAAAATACTCAAGTCAGAGTTAGGTGAAGACTGATTGATCTTTGTCCTCAAGATATTTGCTGTATTTTATTAATTCTAAAACAGGATCTTTGGGGGGAAAAAAATCAATGAGGTTTTTGTCAGTCTTCTGGCACGCTTATTTTTAACAATATCATATCACTCATGTGATGCCATGTGTACAAGTCCTGATAATTTTTTTCTTAAACATTAAAAGTTGTTTATCTGTATTACCATTCTTGACACAAAGTACAACTACAAATACATGGCTATAACTATGCTATTTTTTAATACAGTTATTAAAAAGCAGAAGAACTTAAAGTTTTCCAGATAGCTCTGTCATAACAAGAATTAACGCTGAAGACACATTACACACTTGGTCTTTTATTTTCTTATAATATGTCTTAGATGGAAGTTAAAGGAATAGGGAGTATCAGTTAAAACTGACAAAAGAAACTGCTTACTTTCTAAACTGGTGATCTCTCAAATACCATTATTGTCCATTGCCTTTATCAACAGACACAAAAATTGCCTGAATGAAGACCGACCAATATTCTAAGATATTTTTGTTATTATACCCTATCCCTTAACTAAAGGGTAATTTCCCATAGTATTAAAGAAAGCAGGGAGTGGCATCCACTTCTGAAACAACATGTCTCTGAAAACACTATGAACTTTGATAAATGTAGATAGTTGCAGAGGGACTTCAGGCCTTTTGTTCATAAGGTCACTATCAGCTATGCTCAACTCAACAGCAATCAACAACAACATAATTAAAGAAAGCCATTAATTTTGGTATCATTTATATATTAAAATATAACACAAGAAAAATACATTCCACTAGCAACACAGCTTATAGCATGCAACATAATAACATGATAAGAGAAACCAGATGGTTCCAGAGTAAACAGCCATCCTAACAGTATAATTCCATTTTTCAGGAGACACAAAGAGACAAGAAACTTGCCCAAACAACAAGTTTACACAGCTAGAGAGGGAGCCTAAGAACTCTGTCCCAAATGGCTATTTTCCCTTAGAAATCAGGTTTCTGGCTGTTTGCTCTAAAGCTGTATGGTTCTTAA